CATGTAGTCCAGGGTGCCTTGAGTCCTGGGATTATAGGTGTGTGCCACCATTCCCTGATCTCTAGGGCTTAATTGTGCACTCAGATCTTCAGACAAGCTTTATTTATTAAAACACATAAAATATCACTGGACTGGAAAGATGACTCAGAGGTTTTGAACACTGACTGCTCTTCCAGAGGTCCTGAGTTTAATTCCCAGCAACTACATGGTGGCTCACAGCCATCTGTAATGAGATCTGGTGCCCTCTTCTGACCAGCAAGCATACAGACAGATAGAATACCATACATAATAAATAAATAAATCTTTGGGAAAAAAAAATCACTATGCAAAGAGAGTTCCAGGGCAGCCATGATTGTTACACAGAGAAACCCTGTCTCGAAAAACCAAAAAAGGAACTAGGTTTTCCAGAAGTGCTAATAAGAGCTATCCCATACATAGTTCTTACCATAGCCCAGACACAGTTGGAAGTGCTACTCACATATACACACACTCACTCCTGTAATCCTCACCAGTGCCTGTAAGAAAGTCCTCTTTTTACTTTCCCCCTTGGAGATAGGAGAGTGAGGTACGCAGAAGTAAGAACATCTCGTTGCCTAGTGTTAAGTAGACCAGCTTCAGAATTGTCCTCCGTTTCTTAGAAGTAGACCTGGGGAGTCTAGTTAAGGCCAGTTTAGTGCATCAGTGAAAGCGAAGTCAGATGTCAGAAGAGAAACCGTGCCTTTAAAAAGACATGTGTGCATACATATGTGCATGTCCAGCCAGAACTCTTGACCACTGAGCCATCCAGGGCATCCCCCCTTTTAAATATTGACTTGTCCTTTCTTAAATATTGATATTCCTTTTTATTTATTTATTTTTGAGCCTTAGTTTCTCTGTAGCTCTGGCTTTTCCTGGAACTTGGGTAGAACAGTCTAGCTTTGAACTCAGAGATCTACCTGCCTCTACCCACCAAGTACTGGGATTAAAGGCATGTGCTACCATGCCTAGCTATCTTTTTTTTTTTTTCTTTTTTCTTTTTTTAATATGTTGCTGGGCCTTGTGCATGCCAGAGAAGCACCATACTACCAAGCTACACCCCTAGCCTCATTTTTCAATATTAAAACACCTTTGCATCCCTGGGGGAAACTGTTTGTGATGCATTACTCTTTTGTAAGTTCTTGAGTTCTGTTTACTAAACTTTTGTTTAAAATGTTTATGTCAGTTTCCATGGAGAGATAGTGATTTGTATTTTTCTTATGTCTGGTTTTGCTATGAGAATAATAATGGCATTGCATAGTAGAATAAGTTGAGATTATTTCTTCTGCCTCCAGTTTTATTTTGTTTTGCTTTTATTCTGTAAGGGGCAAGGTGCTGGGGGAGGGGTGCATGTACGCCCTGTGCAAGTGAAGGCCTTCTGACCTTCACTCCTGGAGGTCAGAAGATAAGTCCTCCAAGTTGGATCTCTCCCTCCATTATATGGGTTCTGGGGATTAAATCGGCTGTCAATCTTGGAAACAAGTCCCGCCCCCCCTTTTTTTAAACTTTATTTAACTTTATTTCATGCATATTGGTATAATGATGTCAGATTCTCTTGAACTGGATTTACAGACAGCTGTGAGCTGCCATGTGGGTGCTGGGAATTGAACCCAGGTCCTCTGGAGGAGCAGTCAGTGCTCTTAACCACTGAGCCATCTCACCAGCCCCCCTCTTATTTTGAGACAGGGTTTCTCTGTAGCTTTGGAGCCTGTCCTGGAACTAGCTCATATAGACCAGGCTGGCCTCAAACTCACAGAGATCCACCTGCCTCTGCCTCCTGAGTGCACCACCACCGCTCAGCCAACATCTTTTTTTTTTAAATGTGTATGGGTGCTTTGCTTGCTCATATGTCTGTACATCACATATGTCCAGCGCCTGTGGAAGCCAGAAGGGCTTCTCCCATATGAAATTGAAGTTGCAAGTGGTTGACAGCTGTCATGTAGGTGCTAGGTATTGGACCTAGTTCCTCTGAAAGAGCAGCCAGTGCTCTTAACCATCATGCCATTTCTCCAGTCCTACACTGAATATCTTTATCACAGTTATGTAAACCTTTCCCAGGAAGACAAACAAATGTCTTTTCACCCCAAATAGGGCACCACCAGCAGACCAAAGTAAGGCATACACTCAAATCTAGCTTGCAGAACCAGTGAGTTTAATTAGTGTTGCTTTTAAAAGTGTGAGTGAGGTATTATTTATAGGAACATGGAGCTGATACACCACTGAGGAAATGCACGGGTATGTGTGCATATACACGTGTACACAAACACACACACACCATCTCTCTCCTAGTAAACTGCCTCTTGGAGAGGGGGAGAACAGAACCTTGTGAGTTTGTGGCCTAATGAACCTCTCTTCCCCAGTAAAAGCTTTTAATAAACTTAATGTTTGATAGGTGATCACAACTGCTGTTCAAGAGGACAATGACAGTGTCATCCCCAGAAAACAGAATGTCACAATTTATTACAGCCATGTGTTATTAGAAACAATTAAAAAAAGAATGACAGGTTGCTGGAAAGGAGCCGACACAAGATCACCTTCCAAAGACCTTCATAGGGGATGGGCCAGTGGAGAGCAGCTGTTTTAGGAGAGCTAGCTGTTAAACATAACATGATGAGGGGCAGGAGAGGAGGCCGGAAGAACCTTCAGATCTCTCCACAATGGGGATCTCTGACTCACAGCTTCTGGGGAGTGGCTGGAGTTCCAGACTGTGACTTACTCCAGCCTAGAAACCAGGCACTAGGTAAGACCACAACCTTTTTTATAGTTACAGGAGCAGGAACTAGATTTTAGTAAGTACTTCTTTTTTAAAAAATAGGTTTTTTTTTTTACTTTTATTTGTTTATATATGTAGATATATAGAAATTTGTTTTTTTTTATATATATGGTGATAAGGTCTCACTGTGTACTGCTGGCTGACCTGGAACTCATTATGTAGACCAGGCTGGCCTTGAACTCAAGAAGTTGACCTGCTGCTCTTTCTGCCTCTGGAATGCTGAGATTGAAGGCATGTAGCACCATGCCCAGTTTCTGTATTTTAATGTATTCATTTGTTTATGTGTGGATGTGCATGTGCCACAGCATGCACATGGATACTTATGGAAGCCAGGGGACAGACCATGGAAGTCAGTACTCTCCTTCAACCATATAGCTCCAGGGATCAGGCTCAGGCCATTGAGCTTGGTGGCAAGTGCTTTTACCTACTGAGCCATCTCAGGATCTGTTGTTATTGCTGTACCTGTTTAACATGTGTTATAAATCTTCCGGCTGTGTTGTTTGTGTCTTTAATCTTTATATTTCAAGCAGCATGACTCTAGAGTTAGCATTTCTGTTTCTCTTCATTCCTGTTCTTGAGCCATAGTTCTACCTCCTCTTGTTGTTATTCTGCCTAAAGGACTTCCTTTTATTAATAACATTTCCTTTGATAGGGGTATGCTAGTAAATCATAGATTCTTTCAGATTTTGAACATCTGGAAGCCCTTTCATGGTAAGATGTGTTTGTAGGGCTCAACAGGTTTGTTCATGCATCATACGGATCACTGTACTTGGCCTAATGTCCAAGTGCTTTGAAACTGTATTTTTGACCTGTTTTTTGTTGTTTTAGGAATGTGGCTCTTACTGTCTCAGAATTAAAAGTCCAGGTTAGAATTAGGGGAAGGAAATAAAGTGGTAGGACCAAAAATTTTCAAAACTGACAAGAGGCTCGTGTCAAAGTTGAGAGCAGGAGGGAGGTGTACTTTACCCAGAAGCCCAAGAGTCTGTGTACAAAACAGTTTACAAATAAGGAGCTCATTTGCTAATGAAGATGATTTTGAAGTATGTGAGCAGGGTGCATCAATCTGAACCAAAGTTAGGGATTCTAGGGTCCGTCCCTCCTGCCCCCAAATCCTCTTCATGTTTTGAGTCTGTTAGGCTGACCTTGAGGGGCGTAAGAGAAACTGTACACTGGACTGTGGCTCGGCTCAGGGGCCGAGGAAGGAAGGGGCCTCTAGAGGTAACAGCCAGGGGATCTCAGGTCTAGGGTGAAGAAAGGGGTTTGGAAAAGTTGCAGCACATGCCCCCTAAGCTTGAAAGACTGTGGCCATGTAACAGTTAAGGCTAATGAGAGTGTGCAGTCTCACAGGTTAAGTCACTGGGCATTACAATCTGGTGAAAGGAAGTAGCCCTCTTTTCCTATACTATGTAAAAATTCCAGACAAGTATTTATTATCTGGCAGCTTTGTGCAAACACCTCCATGTCTATCTGCCCACACAGAATACAAGGAGTTTAAACAAGACTTTGTAGGAGCTTCACACAGTAATGCATGCTTGCCGTTCCAGTTACCCAGGAAGCTAAGGCAGGCAGAGGGTGAGTTTGAGGCCAGCCTGTGCTACTTAGCTAGCCAGTATCATCTCTGGAAAAGAAAGAAACACACCCACTCCACCCTGAGAATATAGGGGGTGTGTATGTATAAACTGTGTTAAAACAAAAATCTACTTTCTCAGTTTTGGAGGCTCAAAGGTCCAAAACGAAGATCTCATGGGGGTGTAAAGGGCCCTTTTGCTGCTTGTAGATGGCCAACTGTGTTCCAGTGTAGCCTTGAGTGGGGGTGTACAGATCGTTTTCTCTGAGTTCCGTCTGATTAAGACCTTATTTAATCTTCATTCTCATAAGGCTCTAACAGTATCACCTTGGGGTTAGGCCTTCAGTGTTCGGACTTGAGGAAGACATGTTCATTCTGTAACTGAGTGTGGGCCACAAAAGTTGTATAGATACCGAATAACAATGACTTTGTCATTCCCATTTCTAGGCACATTATGATCATACTCTTCAAATCCTAAGCCTTGGCAATGAAGAGTCCTGTGCTACAAACCTCCAAAGCAGGAGCTTTTGAAATTCAGTTGGATTCTGATACCTTGCTAAATGAATAGAATTGACTCAAACACACCTTCCTAGTTACTGTTTGGATTCTGCAGGAGACTGACTTGATGTTGCTTCTTCTCTCTAGGTTCTTCTTTGTGGTCCAATTGGTCCAAAGTTGCATGAACTTCTTGATGACAATGTGTTTGTTCCACCAGAGTCACTGCAGGAAGTGGATGAGTTCCACCTCATTCTAGAGTACCTAGCAGGTGAGGAAGGCAGGGGTGTGGGTGGTGGAGCATATGAGTGCTGATGGGAAGATGGGGAGAGGACTGTGTGGTGGAGGGTGTGACTGTGCCAGAAGTCCTTGTCATAGTAGGCTCCTGAACCAATGATTTCCCGGCCCATTGTCTTAAGGCGCTGCCATTAGCAGTTGTCTCCATGGAGTATAACAGTATTGAAGACAGTGCTCCCTCCCATCTGCAGACTGCACTGGTATGAACCTAGAGAAAGAGGCTGCAGGAGAGATCTGTCTTGATTAAAAGTAAGAATGTGTTCAGCACATGCTTATAATAAAATTTTTCTTTATTACCGGGAGCTAAGAAGGGCAGCAAATGTTTGCTCATTTCTCTTGGATTCTGCCATGAACTTTTCAGGCCCAGCCCTTCCAGGCTGCTTGAGATTGGTACCAGGCCTCTGGCAAGCTTTCATGGGAGCATGTCATTCTTTTCCTGGAGGTGAAATGCAGTGTTATTTAAGTTTCTTCCTGTTACATAATATTCCAGGATTATAAGTCCAAACTAAACCCATACCAGTGAATTTTATGTTAGAAGAACGAAGGTCTGATTCCTCAACAAATCTTTAATACCTGGACACAATTAATTTTGTGTGTTTCCTGTTGTATCTTTTCCTGTGCTGAAGAACTCTATTTTCTGACTGGGCATCCACACAGACTGATGGGTGTCCTAGAGCAGTACTTAGTGGTCTTCAGTGAGTCACTTCTAAGTCAAACAGGGACCCTCATCTAAAGTAAGAAACTGTCATGTGTGGTACAAATATATGCTTCTTGAAAAGTACCCCTTTCTCAAAGTACACAGAAGGGATTGACTGTTTCCAGTCCTCTGACATACACTAGAAACAGCCGGGGACTCATGGAGGGCAGGTCTAAACTTAGAAGCAGAATATTTTAATAGGAAATTGACATTTAATAATACCCAGGCTTTGAGTTGCTGAGTTCAGTTTCCCCAAATGGGACATAAATGTATCTTTTTACCACTAAATGTGGTGGCAAAGATGAACCTGGAAGTGGGTTTTAAGCCTTGTGAGCTGCTTTTGGACCACTGCCTAGAAGGTTCTGGATCGCTAAGGTGTGTGCCAGGGCCCTGCTTCTGCCACTTCCATAGGCACCCAGAGAAAATGCCTGGGCATTTTGCAGTTAATTTCTCACGGTGACTTGGGAGTGGAAATGGTGCTGTGTCAGAGCTCTGACTCTTTTGGTAGGGAGCCCACTCAGCTCTCTCAAAAAGAATCTCTGTCCTTGGCTTGATAACCCTCCTAGTTTTGTTTCGGATACCTAGGTTTTTTGTTTTTTGTTTTCTTGGACAAAGCAGTGGCCTTCTGTTACCTTCATGTGAAGCTGCACTGCCATAGGTTCCAGGTAGAGTCCGATGGCAGCAGCCCTTGGTAATCTTAACAGAAGCAGTTCGTGGCTTTTCTGTAGCCTGGATTGATGAATTCTAAGAATATTTTTCAGTTTTCTTTTTCTTTTTCTTTTTTTCTTCTCTCTGTCCTATCAGAGCACCTCAGAGAAGCTCACTTTCAGGCTTAGTCTGGAAATTAAGTGAGTCACTGCAGAGATTCACTGAGTTGATACATTGAGAGAAGAGATTGCTTGCAGAAACTAATAGAGTTTGGTGAGGAGAGGAGCCTTAGCTGCACCCGTATCGGGCCACTCCCTCAGTCCTATGTCTGTGGAAACACAGCATTCTCCATTCTCTCCTGTCCTGCCTGGGAAAGGCCTGTTTACTTTTGCCTGGTCATTCCCTGAAGAACTCAGTGGCCTTTTCCCCAGGCTAAGAGGGTCAGTACTTCCTAGCAGTGTCCTATGGAGAATAGGTTGATTTAACCATTGTGTAGTCTTGATTGCAGTACTTCTGAGTACTAGATTTTTTTTTTTTGTCCTTGTGGTCATTTAGGTCATCTGTCTGCTTTCTGATTCCCTTGTTCTTTGCTAATTCATTCTCATGGCTGTGTGGCAGATGCATTGTGAGGCAGTGGGGATGTGATGAGGGAAACATAGCCTGCCCTCAGCGCAGGGGCTGTAGGCGATGGATACCTGAACAGGTCAGTGCAGAACTGTGCCAGGTCCTACAGTGGGGCGGGCACACTAGTGGCCCTGCCAAGAAAGTAGGAGAAGGACCCATTTAGGGAAGAAGTAGTATTTTAACTTGCCACTGAATAGTCACTACTCCAAAGCCACTCTGCACAGAAATGGCTGGAACACCTAGATAGTCTTAGACCACAAGCCCAGAAACCTCCAGTGGGCAGCAGCAAAAGGTGCAATCAGCTAGACTCAGGCTTTCAGCATATTTAGCTTCCAACTCTGAAAAGTGCTCAGGGTATGGCCCTTGAGAGGGCAGCATGGCCCATCTGTTGGGTGTGCAGGCTTACTATGTATACTGATATGTTCTGTGTGCTCATGTGGGGCAGTCACGTGCTCTGTAGTCATGACCTGTGCTGGAGTTCAGCAGAGCTTTTTTGGAACTAAAGGGGAGCTGGTGACCTTAAAAGGCACAGGGCTCATCCTATTTCTGTTTCTTTATTAGATTTGGGTTTAGGTTTCGATTTGTGTTTTTATCTACTGCAGTCTGGTCCTGGATATAGCACCCTGCAGACCTTACACTGCTCTAGGGTCTGCTCAGAGCCGAGGCTCCTGTGAGGCCCCTGCTGTGCCCTGCAGCTGGGAAACTGAAAGCCTCTTCCTTTTCTCCCATGTGTTGACTGGGATTTTCTAGGGGAGGAGTGGGGCCCGTTTAAAGCTCCCCATGCCAACCGGTTCATCTTCTCTCACGACCTCTCCAACGGGGCCATGAATATGCTGGAGGTGTTTGTGTCTAGCCTGGAGGAGTTCCAGCCTGACCTGGTGGTCCTCTCTGGATTGCACATGATGGAGGGACAAAGCAAGGAGCTCCAGAGGAAGAGGCTCTTGGAGGTAATGGCTCTGTTACAGACCTATAGGTCTCAGCTGGTGTTTTCTGTCAGGCTCCTGCCACTGAGCCTCTAGCTGATGCTGGCTTGTCTTAGGCTCTGCTCCGTCAAAGTAGTAGGAGGAGAAAGGCAATTGAAGACATCTTGCCTGCGCCTCTACACGCTGTGCTTAACTGAGTGTGGCTACAAGCTGCAGGGTTTGTAGCTATGTCCTGTGTTTTCTGTACCATCTCACTTCACACCGGCTATGCTGTGCTTCCTGCAGGTTTGTATACATTGGGGCCAACAGCTCAGATTAGGTCCCAGGAATAGGAGACATGAACATACGGGTGCAGTTCTGTGTCCTCTGATTCTAAAGCCCTGGTTGCTCCCTACAGAGTAGAGTTTTTCTATTGGGGAAAAGCAACATTATTCACAGAGGAGGTGGGAACCCACACTACAGTTCATGAGAACACAAAGGGTGTTTCGAGTACATACAGGCTACTCAGGACATAATCTTGCCCTCCCTCCTGCCTGACTTCTATCCTAATGGCACTGCTGTCCTCCTCTCTGCAGGTTGTGACCTCCATTTCTGACATCCCCACTGGTATTCCAATTCATCTAGAGCTGGCCAGTATGACCAACAGGGAGCTCATGAGCAGCATTGTGCATCAGGTAACCACATGGGCCATTCATTCGCTGCCTCTGGCTCTGGGGCCTCAAAGGGAAGTTCCTTTCTCCCGTGAAATCAGATGTTTGGGCTCTGACAGGTTTACTAACTGACATAAGTAAGTTGTGTCACTAAGATATAAGTATGGATGAGCCAGAATGGATCAAGGACTGTTGGGATAATATTTCCTACTGGGTTAGGACTGTGGCAGAATAACCGATGACCTGAGACATGTTTCTTCCTTTGGAGAGAGGATGTTGAAATGAAGAGTGTTGGGGGATTTTGTTTTTTTGTTTTGCAAATTTCAGAGGCAAAGCTGAAAGCCCAAGTCAGCTCCTTTCAGTTCAACACAAACTTTAGGTAAACATAACTCCCTAGTGCTAGGTATCTTGGGTTACCTCCCTTTAGACAGCAGGGATGATTTGGATAAGTCCCACTGAGCCAGGGCTAAACATAGACATTTCACACCTGGGCTGGCATGTCAGCTTAGCTATTCATTAGCTTTATGAGCTTAGGTGTTATATGAACTTACACCAGATAGTGTGAAAAGATCTAGGGTGACATCTGCTTCCACCCCATACCTGCTCAGCAATCTCATCAGTTTCATTTATAACTCCAGTCTTATTTTATGCATTGGTAAGAAAACACAGAAGTTTAACAGGCAGGATGCCTGCTGACACCCATGAGCTCTCAGTGGTGAGAGTATCTGATCTATGTGCAGAGGCAAAGGCACAGGGAAGAGCCTCCACAGCACGTCTTCTGCTCTTTCTACAGTGACATATAGCGAGTCTAGGTCTGGAGGGTATTGAGGCAACTCTATACAGTTTCCCAAGTAGTCATAAAATGGAAACAGATTTAATTCGTGAAACTGGTTTCAGAGAAGAAAAATGGTCCCTACCTGACATTTCATCATTGACTGTGTCCTAATACTAATACACCAGGAGCTAGGTTGTGTCCACCAAAAAGAGACCTGTCATTATTTTTGTTAGCAGGTCTTTCCCGCAGTGACTTCTCTTGGGCTGAATGAACAGGAGCTGTTGTTTCTCAGCCAGTCAGCATCTGGACCTCATGCTTCTCTCTCCTCCTGGGACGGTGTTCCTGATGTGGGCATGGTCAGTGACATTCTCTTCTGGATCTTGAAGGAACATGGGAGGAGTAAAACCAGATCCTCAGATCTCACCAGGATCCATTTCCACACGCTGGTCTACCACATCCTGGCAACTGTGGATGGACACTGGGCCAACCAACTTGCAGCTGTGGCTGCAGGAGCTCGTGTGGCTGGGACACAAGCCTGCGCCACTGAAACCATAGATGCCAGCCGAGTATCTCTAAGAGCACCTCAAGAGTTCATGACATCCCATTCAGAGTCCGGCTCCAGAATTGTATTAAACCCAAATAAGCCAGTGGTGGAGTGGCACAGGGAGGGAATAACCTTCCATTTCACACCTGTGTTGGTGTGTAAAGATCCCATTCGAACTGTGGGTCTTGGTGATGCCATTTCAGCTGAAGGCCTCTTCTATTCAGAAGCACACCCTGATTAGGAAAACTGTAGGCAGTTTGCGTGAGGAATGAAAACCACCCATCTTAAGAATTCCAGGAATAATATAGCTTGGAAAATAGGCTGTGGGTGTCAGAACAGTTCCTAGACCTAATTGGAAGACAGCCAAAGAAATCACAGAAGATTAAACTGTACAGATACATTCCAGCCTGTTGGCAATTGCATAAAAACACTTCAGGTTTAATTGAAACTTAGTCATGTACTAATAAGATTTTTGTTTTTTATGTTGTGTTACAAAGGTTAGAGCCTCCATTCCTGAGTCCCCAGTTGATGTACCACCAGGTGTTACATGACATTTAACTCTGAAGAGTTCATCCAGCCACAGAGAGCACTTTTCTCCTTGCCCACTAGAGAAGGGCAGTCCCTCCCCACAAGCCTAATTGCTCATAAAGCCTGGCAAAGGCAGTCATGACAGCTTACGTTCCTGGGCAGAATCAAGCTGTCCGTTCAGTGTTACAGTGACAATATTTGATGTGCATTCCTTCTCAGCCTCCTGCTCAGACATAGGTCAGAGCCACAAGAAAGGATAAAACTGTCCTGTGCTTTATGATCGCAGACTGGAGATGCTTGGCAAGGCCTGAGCCACCTCATCAATCTAAACTTGCTTGGAAGGACCATGCTTTCCTGCCCCAGCTCCATAGACTGGGGCTGGCTGGACTCAGCCAGCCCCATTGCTCAGCCCTGGAAGAGCTCTCTACAGCAGAACCCTGGTACTTCTTGTTCCTCCTGAGCCTTGAAGAGATCTGCTTTACAACTGGAATGTGCTTCTGTGTAGAACACATGTGTTTCGTGTTTGCTTTGACACAGCCATTAAAGAGTTTGACTTCATAAGAGCCCCAAGATCATGAATAAATGTGTCATGTTGTATATTTTTTTAACAAATCAAGATTTCTGTGTGCTTTTAAAAATATTAAAAGAATTTACATTTCAGGGATCCTGAGTCTAATCGATTTTGTTATCATCTCACTATGGACAGATATAGTGACTTGCATGGCACTTGGCTGCTGAGGCCTTTGTTCTTTGTTCCTGCCAGTGGGTTAGATAGTCCCCGGGCTGAGCCCTAGCAGTAGGCTTGTCAGGATCAAAGTCTCAGAAGCTTCTGCTGTGGAGCTACCTTCAAGATAAGTGGAAGCATAGCCATGTCAAAGAGCCAAAAACTTCCTAGTTCAAAGTGCAAGATGTGTGTGGCACAGGACAGGAGCCATTCATGCCAGCCCTGCAGCTGCTCCTGGGATCACAAACTACCCTCTCTGCTCTGGGTAAGCGGGAAAGTCTTGCTCTTTTTTAGAGAAAACTGAAGTCTACACAATTATGACTCTTGAAATTGAAAGCAAACATCTAAAGGTATTCGTGGCTGTTGCTTAATCCTCCGCCTCCAAGGAAGCTCAGTTAAAATTAGTTTTCTGGGAGGCAGAAACAAACAGATCTTTGAGTTTGAGGCCAGCCTGATCTACACAGTTAGACCCTGTCTCAAAAAACAAAACAAAACAAAACAAAAATTTCTACGCCTTTTCTTTTTAGTCACCTAAGTGCTGAGATTCAGGTGAGCACCACCAGTGCTTCAGCATTTCAGGAAGCTGAAGTGAGAGGAGATAACTTTTTTAAGGCCAAGACTTTGTAAACTCTCATGTGTTCTTTTCTTTGGTCTTTATTTGTTCAGCTTCTGCCCTAAGTATAGTCTCAAACACCTCTCTGGGTGTTGCTGGTAATACCAGTAAAGACTATAGTGACAGGTGTAGTGAGCGCCACCTAAGCCACTGGCATGTTTGCTGCCCCCTGAGAATTAGCAGGGCCAGCTTTGGCACCACACTCCAGCCCCAGCCCCTCCAAGTGTTTGTCACAGATGGGCCTTGGGCATTAATGGTTGCTAGATCCAGGAGGCTGGAGAGTGCCTACTGCAGTCAGGAAGACCCAGTCTGAACTGATCTGAATCCCAGCACCTACACTGTCAAACACAAAATAAATTATTTGTCTAAAATTGATAGGTCAATTTTTGATGAGAGTAAAATGTACCAGAATGTATGTTAGAAGGTTTTAACTGTATTGTATAGAATGAATGCCCACAGACTTGACAGGGCATACACCTGTCTGCAGAATGCATTTCTGTGAAGGAGGCTAAGCCATAAAAGCAAGACTAGAATCTGTTGCCTGGGATGAATGTGCAGAGGTGGGTGGAACTCAACAGGTGGGACTGTGCTCCTCAACCCCAGACTCAGGTTTCCACACAGGGTTTATAAGGAGACAAAGGATTTGACCATCCCCTAGCCAGTAATAGAGGCCACCTAGAAACTACACACCCTGGTACGCTCCCTTGAAACTGATTTAACCTGGGAAAAGCTGCAGCCTGCAATACCACTAGAAAATTAGATGGCAGTCAAAGGCAGGTAACCCTTATCATCACATTGAGTCTGCATTTTATTCTCTTACTGAGGGGCTTAAGGCAGGGGTACACATCAGTAGGCATAATCCAAATTCATGAAGGATATTTGAGTTGGCGATTGTTACTTGATAATGCTGTCTAACAGATTCCCTTGGCTTAGCCTCACTTAGCTGTAAAATGGGGCTATCGTGGTACCTTCCTCTCAGGGTTGTTTATAGAGGAGACAGATGCACTCTGCATTAATTTAACACAGTATATAGTGCATAATTTTAATAATCACTTCTCACTAAGCTGAACAGGCAACCTCTGGGCCTAAGACCATTTTAAGTCATTTGAAAGCTGTTGTGGGGCAGGAAACCCTGACTGCTCTGGGAGGGGGAGAGGGAGTGGGGGGAGTGGGAGGTTGGTGGGAGGAGGGGCTGAAATGGAAACTTTTATAATTTAATAATAAAAAAATAAAAAAAAAGAAAGCTGTTGTGATACAGCTTTTTCTTGTTTTTTTGTGTGTTTTAGGTTAAAAATTTATGTGATGAAGCGGCACAGTTTATCACTTGGTAAGTCTCAGCAAATGTATTTCCATCACCGGCTAAATCCTCCATGTTTCCTCCAAGTCATCCCATCCCTAACACTGACCCCTAGTCAACTATTCTTTCCCTTCACTGCCTAGTCCATATAAAGCTGCTTATTGAATATAGAGAGCCATGCTGGGCGGTGGTGGCACACACCTTTAATCCTAGCACTTGGGAGGCAGACACAGGAGGGTCTCTGTGAGTTCAAGGCCAGCCTGGTCTATAAAATCTAGATCCAGGACAGGCTCCAAAGCTACAGAGAAACCCTCTTGAAAAATAAAACCAAAAAAAGAAAGAAAAAAAAAAAAGAGTCACGCATGTTTCATACAGCTCCATATTTTATGGCTGTAAGTGCCTACAAGCTTCCACTTTGAGGTAAAGAATCTCTCACCAACAAGAGCTTGAATAGGTTCTTTTCAGACAAGAAACTGTAGCACCAGAATTGCCAGGCTAGACTACTCTACATTTCTGCTGATAAGTTCTGATTCTGTCTTGTTTTTGCTAACAGTGGGAGTTTTCAGCGTTCAGCTGGAGCCATTCTGGTGGGTAATGACTGCTTTTTCTATTTCCCACATGACAAACGCTAGGCGCTAGTGCTCATTGGCCACTCCTATACTTTCCTTTGTAAAGTTGCACAACACTTTGTCCTAATTGGATGTTGGATTAGTGTGATGTTTGCTTTTCTTATTATTGAGCTATACGATTTCTTCATGTTTTCAGGTCTGATAAGGTCCTTTTAGGTCTGTTTTCTCCAGGCTTCAGCCTAATGTTAATGTCCTAACAGTTGTCTTCCCTGGAAAAAATGACACATAATCCATGCAGTCTCAGGTGGGGGTTTCTTGGCGCTTTATAACTTCAGTGTTTACAGTTAGATCTGTAATGGAGTTTGACTTAATTCCTATGCATAGTGTTAATCTGAGGACAGATTTTTTATTTTATGTGTGTGGGTGGGGATAACATGGTTTTGAAACATTGCTCACATTGTGGAATGACAAGATATTCAGATCATCATTGGGATCATGCAGCTTGTATTTCAAACTGGTTTTCACTTAGCATTATGCACTAACCATAAATTTTCTCAGCTTGATTCAGCTCCATTTTGTACTCTTCCTTTTGTCTGGCTCTACTGAAATTTATTCACCCACTTACTTGTAGATATCTTGATTTGCTTCCAGGTTTGGGCAGCTGTGTGGGGAATTGTGATTAGTTCCAATTCATTTCAGCAAATACGTTAAGTGTGACTCATGGATTATATGTTTAGTTTGTTTAGTCTTTAAAGAATCTGCCAAATTTAGCTCCAAGGTACCTATGCTGAAGCCTTGCTAGCACTTATGTCAATGTTTTGGGTTTCGGTCTTTCTAAAGGCTCAAAGCCATAGCTGTATCTGTGATTATCATTTTGGTCTTATTTTCCTAAGTCTGTTAAAACTGCTGTGAGCTCCCTTCATAGAGTAACTTTTTATTCTTTTCAGGATGAATGAGAAACTGAATGCAGACACCCAGAAGAATGGACATGTGCAGCCTGTTACCTAAGGAAGCCTAAATCCAAGCACTATGGAAAGCATTGCCTGGAAGAAAGGTGCCGTATTGCCCCTGAGGAGTGGGGAAATGAGCAGGCCTCTTAGTTTCTACCAACTTCACCTGAAGAGAACAGCACTGTGCCCCTGTCTGTCCTCAGACACTAAGACTTTAGCCAGGGATGGTGGCACACACCTGTTAGCCACAGCATTTGAAGATAGAGACAGGAAGATCAGGTGTAGAGGTTATTCTCTCAGCTATATAGTAAGTTTGAGGCTAGCCTGGGCTACATGAGACCCTGTCTTAAAAATATTTTAAAGTCCTTTCAGAGTAAAGAATTCAGAAAAATCTTAGATTTTTTTTTCCCTCTGCTTTTTATAAAATGAGTAGTTTAATCTCTACATGGGCTTCTGTTGCCGGGCTTGTTTTCCTTTTTCTGTTTTTGCCTTCATCCTAAAAAGACTTTCTAAGCCCATGCTCTTCAGCTAGCACAAAAATCCAGATTCCCCTAGCTCAGTGGTTCTCAACCTCCTAACACTTTAATAGTTCCTCATGTTGTGCTGACCCCAACCATAAAATGATTTTGTTGCTATTTGACAACTATTTTGCTAGTATTATGAATCATAATGTGCACTATCAGATATGCAGGATATCTGATATGCGGCCCTTGTTTGACACTAAAAGGGGATGCAAACTACAGGTTGAGAACCATTTCTCTAGCAGAACTTTTAAACAGACTCTTTCTCAAGTCAGGTAATTTAGGTGTCTAGAAGGTATCATTGGGTTACCTCAAAGACAGACCAACTTATAACCAGACTTGAAAAGTCCTTGATCCTAGTCATCCATATTCCTAGTCCAGAATGAATATTTATCTACCTACTTATATAGCCTCTTCTCATTTGCCACCTACAACCAGACCCTCCTTTCTATGGATTTAGCGCTTGGCTTTCTTTCATGTTCTTTCTTTCTTTCTTTCTTTCTTTCTTTCTTTCTTTCTTTCTTTCTTTCCTTCCTTCCTTCCTTCCTTCCTTCCTTCCTTCCTTCCTTCTTTCTTTTTTTTTCTCTCCTCTCCCTCTAAGCCTATACCCTTATTATTTCTCACCAACACCTTTTAGTTTTAGTCAATCAATTTAGTCTATACTACCCTTCATGCTGATGTAGAGGTGAGTTTTCTTGATTACTTCATGACAAATCTGCTACTTGGGCAAAGGAATTATCATGCATGCCATCGGAGATGAGAAAACTGAAGAGGGCCTCTGTTCAGTACTGTCAAATCAGACCTAGCCATAATATCAAAAACTCTACACTCTGGCTTGACAGCGTGTCAGTTTTCTAGCTGCCAGTTATAGTGAAAACTTGGACTGCCTCCAGGGGCCAACCTTTGAGGTTGCTGTGAGGCTACACTATAGCTAAGACCAACTTGGCTCTGAGATGGTTATAGTTTCAAACCAGGCCTGGAAATAGGTAA